TAGAGTCCCTGAGCACTGATAGCTGAATGAAGTGCAGAGCCTTTTGCACTCCTTAGGCTGTATATATATTCCCTTCAAAATTTCTAAGGATGAGTGTTTATAATTTTCCTTTTATCTAGGGGGATCCTGCCGTAAAGGAAGCACCCCTGAGGTGCAGTAAACAGAGGGCTGGGAACTAAGGCGGATAGCTGGCTTCCTGTTACAAAGGAACTAGTGAGGAAGGAGGAAATGTCAAGGACAGAAGGACAATTTCTAGGTCTGCAGTAATGGACGTTTTAATGTCTATGTAGAACAGTTAGGAACTTAAAGAAAAAAAAATTCATCCAACAGCTTGGCCCAGAATTGGCCTTGCTTCATTCAATTTATCCATTTTAGAAGATGAAAGGCTACGTTGTCTGCCAGGATTTAGCGTCCAGTCCCGGGGAATCATTGTGCTTCTAATCTGATGTTTGGGCCATGACGCCAACCCCTCTGCCTGCCGGTCAAGATCACTTCCTCTTTTTGTTATGTTGTTAAAAGGCCCCCGACACGGACTGGTTTCAAACAGCATTTGGCTCCATAGGGGACCAACTCACAGTCCTTTGTTTTATTTTTTTTTTCTGCCATTTAGAGAGGAGTTTGTTCCTAGTAGCAGAGGACTGTAATAATACTCATTTTTAAAAACTGCTACGCAAAAATTGAGTATGGAATGTTCTAGATCCTGATTGGGGTGGTGGTTGCATGGGTGTATACATTTGTCAAAGCTCATCCAACTGTATACTTAAGATCTGAGCATTTTACCTCAATTAAAAGGGCATGAGACGGGAAAAAGACATGAAAACCAGATAGGAAAAAAGAATGAGAGTAGTTAATTAGAGCACCTGTCTGAGGCTGTGTAAACCTAGAATTACTCTCTAGTAATCACTTCTAATTCTTTAGATTTCTTCAATCCCAGATCAAGGAATCCCCTTGTGGGAGGCTTACATTCATTCCCCCTAATTTGTATTCTCCATTCCTTTGAAAGCAGTCATTCTAAGGCCACATAAGGATAACTGATATTTATCCCTATAAATAGTTAGTGTCAGAAAGGTAATCTTTCTCTGCATGTCTCTTTATTATGTCACACTAGACTTAGAATTAAATAAAGGTAGAAAATCTGTCTACTTGAGGTGGGGGCAGTGAATGAATTTGGCCTTTATTTCCTCAAACTTGTAAGGGAAGTGAAAGTGTAAAGATAAGAAATATGACTTTAAAATAAAAAAGTCTTTGGTTGCAATCGTTCATCATGCCTCTGATACAGATTTCCAGTCTTAGATATAAATATTTCAGGATCAAGATGCTTTCATCTTTCTCTGCCTTGCAAGAAGGGAAGATTGGAAACAATCTTCCTTAAAGTAAGCAGCTTTAATCATTGTTTCTAAATCAACTGAACTGTGCAGGGAAAAAAAGAAGATGTAAGAATCCTATAATCCCTGGTTTAGTTGTAATGAAAATGTCCAGGCTGAGAAGGGAACAGATGGATTTTGATTAATTTCTACTAAGACCAGCAAGTATCAACCTCAATATTCTTTATAAACTTGTCAGGGTAAATGTTATATAGTCATAAGAGAATGAAGAAAAAAAAAGACTTAAAATAAGATTTATAACTGGGTTATGAATAAAGAGGATATACTTAAAAACACCATCCTTAGTGGCATGTCAAAAATGCAGATTCACTGAATCTCGGCAATTTTTTTCAGAGATTCTTTCAGATTTGCTCCTTTAAAAAGAGATTGATATTTTTAAGGAGAGAACTTGTACCCGTTGCCCCAGGTATCCAGTGCAGTGGGCCACCACATACCCAGTGCAAAGGCTTAACAGTAAGAAGAAGGCAAACAAGATTCAGAGAGCTGAGAAGCTGCACTCTGGATTCGACATTTATGATTCCAGGATGATAATTGAAAACAAAGATGAACTTTACCAAGACATAATTTGGAATGAACTTAGACAATTCAGTTGCCACAGTTCATTAGTTTTATGGTTGATATTTAGGGTGCTGAGGGGCAAACTCTCAGCTTCCCTTGTCCTTTCCAGAACCTCCTCATTCCTCCAGTCAATCAGAGAACCAACTGGGAAGAAGTGCAGAAAAATCCAGGGGCTTAGGGATTTAAATTCGGCATTAACTTGCAATTAGAAATGAAGTTTTTAAAAAGGCAAAGAAAGAATCTCAAGTAGCATCAGTCCCACATTTGGTTAGAGTATGAGGTGTTTACCTCCAACAGAAAATCAATAACTGCTGGTTTTAGATTTAAAAGTACTGCTGCTGTCTAGCTTTGTCTTCTTCCTGACGTAATTTCACATTTTCCATTACTTTCTGCCTGGTGTATGAGACGGTCACAGATTGAGAGCTGGGTGAACAAATAGAACCCTAAATATAACCTTCAATATCATCAATACTTAACAAATTGTCAGTTAAAGGCAGTATGCATCATTCAAAAACTTCTCAGATCTCATTTAAAAACAAAACAAATTTCAACTGAGAACAAAAATGTGATCTTTTCTTAAAAAGAGAAAAAGCATATTTTTGAGTGGAGAACATATGGAAAATGTTCTCTCCTTCTCAGGTATAGAGTGATATATTAACATAGAGGAAATAGAGAATTATTAATTAACTATGTGATTGCTGTGCCTCCCATCACTGGAATGTGGTGAACAGCAAATGAATTAGGCATTAATTCAACAGTAGATACACCGTTTTTTTTCTGTTATCTTGTCATCATAGCTGTGACTTGGAAATAGGATCTGCTTAAGGACAAGAATACTGGGCTCACTGTAATGGAAACAGGCTATTTGGGAAATCTGATCCAAGGATTATGATTTTAACTTGATAGTAGCCCACCTGCCGGGGAGCTCCTGTTCATTTTCTGTCAGTTAGGCCTGTCATTAAGAGAATGCATCTGTTAGAGTGGCCTCTGTAGAAAATAACTGGGGCCAACTTCTCCATTAGGTGCAGTAGGCACAGTGCCTAGGGCCCATGGAATATTTTAATTTTGTTTGAAATTGGAAAAAAATGATTATAATCCAGTCTAGATGGCATGTCGTTATATCGACACAATCATAAAATATAATTTTCAATATTTAAAAAGTTGTTTTTTTAATTTTTAATAGCTTTTTGATAGAGGAAGGAGGTCATGTAAGTAGGAGTGCTAAGAGCCCGCAACAGCCATGATATAGGCCTGGAAACTGATGGCAAACTCCAAGATTTTAGTGGAAGAGAATGATGCAAAGGGGCTCTTTGCAAAGATATGGTTTGAGTGAAGAAAACCAGGTGGGGGTGGCAAAGCCCTCAGGGGTTAGAAATCACGGGAAGCTGTCACCACTTGTGGGCCTGAGGCCACAAAGGAAGACACCTCATTGGCCAAACCCAATCAGAAACTAGAAGTGAGGGAATCTAGAGGTTCAGCCCATCACCTGCAGAGGACACAGAACCAAGCAGAAGCACAGGCTAGAGCATAAAATAGATTCGAGTTGGGAGATGGAGTTGCCAGCAAAGAGTAACCAATTCAAGGACCCATATTCCAAGTATTTCCTGTCTCTGGAATTTTTTTTTTTTTTTTACTGAGTTTTTGCTCTGTTGCCCAGGCTGGAGTGCAGTGGCATAATCTCAGCTCACTGCAACCTCCACATCCTGGGTTCAAGTGATTCTCCTGCCTCAGCCTCCCAAGTAGCTGGGATTACAGGCACCTGCCACCATGCCCAGCTAATTTTTGTATTTTTAGTAGAGATGAGGTTTCAACATGTTGGCCAGGCTGATCCAGAACTCTTGAACTCAGGTGATCTGCCTGCCTCTGCTTCCCAAAGGATTATACGCATGAGCTACCATGCCCAGCCCTGTCTCTGGAATTTTTGAGTGGGTGAAACTGCCTTTGTGAAGGATTAGTAAGATTCATGCATGAATTGTAAAAGTAGAAACTTATTTTCACTTTCAGAAAGAAAAAAGACAGATTTGAGAGGATGGTACCCATCAGGGGGCAAAGGGCCCAAGCTTTCTTGCTCAAATGCTTTATTTTTAAAGAATCTGTCCTGTAGGGGTTGTTTCCTAGCCCTTTACAATCAAGGCTCAACCTTCCTTTCTAGTCCAATGAGGAGACAGTTGGAAAATTGGTCAAGAAAGCCTTCTGAACCAGACTGCCTGACCCAGCTCCATTATTGAATAGCTGTATGACCTCACTTTCTGTATCTGTAAAAAAAGAATAATAATGGTACATGCTTCCTAGGATCGTGGGGAGGATTAAATGAAATAATAGTAGCAAATATTTATGTAGTTCTTATTAGGAACTAAGCACCATTCTAAGCATGTTATGTATGTTAACTCATTTTAACCACACATAAAAACAAAGATTAAAACCTGAAGAGAGAGCAGTTTAGGATGGTATTATTTGGGTAACAAAATATGACTGTGCTTGAAACTAAACTGCCCTGGGTTTTTCATGTATGTGAATCAACAAATATTCCCTTATTTTTTGGAGAGTCTCTAAGCCAGTAACATTGGATTTCTGTTTTTGCAACCAAGACAGTTCTAATAAAAGAGATAACAGATATAGATATGTATATTGATGTGGTTTGGCTCTGTGTCCCCACCCAAATCTGCTGTCCCCTTGTAATTCCCAGTGTTGGGGGAGGGACCTGATGGGAGGTGACTAAATCATGGAGGCAGATTTCCCACTTGCTGTTCTTGTGTTAGTGAATGAGTTCTCACTAGATCTTGTTGTTTAAAAGTGTGTAGCACCTTGGCACTCTCTCTCTCCTCCTCTGCCATGGTAAGAGATGCTTACTTCCCCTTCATCTTCCACCATGATTTTAAGTTTCCTGAGGTTTACTGTACAGCTTGCAAAGCTGTGAGTTAATTAAACCTCTTTTCTTTATGAATTGCCCAGTCTCAGGTAGTTCTTTATAGCAATGTGAGAATAAACTAATACATATATATATTTTTCACTGAGTTGTGTTCATCACAGCAGTTCTGATTCCATTCTTCTTTGCAGTCCTTGGAGTTATCCCAGCCTTTTCTGATGGAATGAAAGATGATGATAAAAACTACACTGGCTCAAATTCATAGGTAATGTTGTTAAACTTGACTTTTTTTTTTTTTTGACACAGAGTTTCGCTCTGTTGCCCAGCCTGGGGTGTAGTGGCACCATCTTGGCTCACAGCAACCTCTGCCTCCTGGCCTCCCAAAGTGCTGGGACTACAGCGTGAGCCACCGCACCCAGCCTAGTAATGTTGTTAAACTTTTGTAGACATTGCTATAGGGAGTCTCTCATTAGAAAAACTAATAAAAGTGATTTCAAATTTGTTTTGTACCTATGGTGCCAGGTGATTGTATGCATATTTTTCAACCATGAGGGAAGTTTTAATACTATTTTCACTTTGTAAAGGAACACAGGAAGCACCAGAGAGCTGGAATAACTTTCCAAAAGCCTATTAGCTGCTGAGTTAATTGAGCCAGGATTCCAATCCCAATGCCTAACTCCAAAACCTGTGCTATTTTATCATAGTAGAATTCCTCCATGACATACTCAGAATATATGAGGGGATGGCCCATGGGTTTGAGCCAGTGTAGTTTTTATCATTTTCTTTCATTCCTTCAGAGAAGGGATAACTGCAAGAACTGCAAAGGAGGATGGGATCAGAACTGCCATGATGAGCACAGCTCACACTGAAGAATGAACTCTGCATCAGCTTTGGAAAGGTGACCCTCTCTCCTTCAGAGTAATTGAACTGATAGAGGCTTTTCTCTACCTGTTACCACATGCTGTGTGGGCATTAATGGTGAAGCCCCCGATGCTAACTTCTAAAGTGATGGAGAATTGTCTTGCCATATTATGTGCAGTCTGAAGGGGTACCCACTGGCCCAAACCCAAAAGCAAATTCTTTCCTAATGACTTTTATTTGTTAACAGTCTTTCTGCCCTTACTGAAGCAAAAGGGAGGCCCTGATCATGGGTGGAGGCCACAGAGAAAGGAGACGGGTTAGATGACATTTCCCTGGACCTGAGCATGCACCCTCTCAGTTCTCTGGAGAGGAGCTGGTGTCAGGATGGGGGCTTGAAGGATGGAGGAACATCCTCATTCACTTTCAAGCCCATGATTCCCATCTCTTGGGGTTAATATCAAACAATTGCCTGTCAAGCTTTCTCTGACCTTCCTTCCTCAGTCCCAACGTCTTTCTCCTTCCTGTGTGCTTTCATAGAGCATGTATTTTATCACACTGTAATGCTTTTTCCTTTAAAAATGCATTTCCCCTTCTTTATAATACAACAGTCATTACATTCTAGACTACTGGGAAAAAGAAAATACCATAATTTCATCATGTAAAAAAACTCATTCTTGGAGCAGGAACCCGCACCCTTTGCTCCTTCCTCAGAATGAATAGAGACCAAAAATCAGATGTTTATGCCCAAGAAAAGCAGGATTTCATTCAGCAGTTCTCCCAGATAGTTAGGATGCTGACTGAGGATGAGATGGGGTACCCAGAGACAGGAGATGCTATTGCCCGGCTCAAGGAAGTCCTGGAGTACAATGCCATTGGAGGAAAAGTAACACTGGGGTTTGATGGTGCTAGTGGTGTTCCAGGAGCTGGTGGAGCCAAGGAAACAGGATGCTGATAGTCTCCAGCGGCCTTGACTGTGGGCTTGTGTGTGGAACTGCTGTAAGCTTTCTTCCTGGTGACAGATGACATCATGGATTCATCTCTCACCTGCCAGGGACAGATCTGCTGGTATCAGAAGCCAGGCATGGGTTTGGATGCCATCAATGATGCTATCCTTCTGGAATCATGGATCTACCCCCTTCTGAAGCTCTACTGCTGGGGGCAGCCCTATTACTTGAACCTGATTGAGCTCTTCCTACAGAGTTCCTATCAGACTGAGATTGGGCAGACCCTGGACCTCATCACACTGCCCAGGGCAATGTGGATCTCAGCAGATTCACTGAAAAGTGGTACAAATCTATTGTCAAGTACAAGATGGAGTTCTACTCCTTCTGCCTTCCTGTAGCTGCAGCCATGTACCTGGCAGGAATTGATGGCAAGAAGGAGCGTGCCAATGCCAAGAAGATCCTGCTGGAGATGGGAGAGTTCTTTCAGATTCAGGATGATTACCTTGACCTCTTTGGGGACCCTAGTGTGACCGGCAAATTTGGCACTGACATCCAGACGACAAATGCAGCTGGCTGGTAGTTCAGTGTCTGCAACGGGCCACTCCAGAACAGTACAGATCCTGAAGGAAAATTACGGGCAGAAGGAGGCCGAGAAGGTGGCCTGGGTGAAGGCATTATATGAGGAGCTGGATCTGCCGGCCATGTTCTTGCAGTATGCGGAAGAGAGTTAAACAGCCAGGTTATGGGTCTCATTGAACAGTACTTAGCGCCCATGCCCCCAGCTGTCTTTCTGAGGCTTGGGTACAAAATCTGTAAGTGGAAACAGTGGATCTAGAGACTGCAAAGGCGGGGAGAGGAGGCTCTCAATAAGTAAATTGTTGTGTAAAAAAAAAAAACAAACCACTAATTCTTAGTAGGAGTACCTCCTTTAAAAAAAAATTTAGGATTTTTTTCTGAGGCAGAATCTCACTCAGTTGTACAGGCTCATTGGCATGATCACAGCTCACTGTAACCTTGATCTCCTAGACTTGAGTGATCCTCTCACTATGCATAATTTTTAATTTTTTTCTAGAGATAGGGTCTCATTATGTTGCCCAGGCTGGTCTCGAACTCCGGGGCTTAATTGTTCCTCCCACCATGGCCTCCCAAAGTGCTGGCATTACAGGCATGAACCACTGTGCCCAGGTGAAAATATTTTACTTTTTAGTTAAAAGCTTGTCACTCCAAAAGGGCCACAATCTCTTTGTATTTTAGATGACTAGTGTATAGTAGGTGCCTGGGCAACATTTGCTGAATCTGGCTGGCACAAGCCCAATGTTGATTTTATCTTGCTTTTAAAAAAATTCCCAATTAGTCACATCAAACTTGTCTGGCAACCTCATTAGCCAACTTAAACCAGTGAGGGGAAAAAAGCTTCTCAGATGGAATCCTCTGTCAATCTCAGGCTCTTGATTCTTTTATTCTGACTCTTTAATTCTGTCTCTGCCTTTTTTAAAAAAACACAAACAAAAAAAACTGCTTTATTGAGATATCATTTACATACCATAAAATTCACCCCGTTTAGAGTGTACAGTTCAGTGGTTTCGATATATTGATAGAATTGCGCAGCCATCACCACTACTTAATTTTGGAAAATTGTCTTTACCCCAGAAGAAACCCTATCTATACTAAGAAACTTAATAAGCAGTCACTCTCCATTTCTGCTTTCTCTGACCCCTGGCTACTAGTGTCTTTGCTCTCTTTATAGATTTGCTTATTCTGGACATTTCATGGAAATGAAATCACATGATGTGTACTCTTTTGTAATTTGCTTATTTCATTGAGCAAAATGTTTTCAAGATTCATCTATGTTGGAGAATATATATATATTTTTTGAGGTAAAGTCTCACTCTTTCATCCAGGCTGGAGTGCAGTGGCGCAATCTCGGCTCACTGCAGCCTCTGTCTCTGGGGTTCAAGCGATTCTCCTGTCTCAGCCTTCTGAGTAGCTGAGACTACAGACACACGCCGCCACATCCAGCTAATTTTTTGTATTTTTTCTTTTCTTTTTTTTTATTTAGTAGAGATGGGGTTTCACCCTGTTGGCCAGTGCAGCCTAGAACCCCTGACCTCAAGTTATCTGCCCACCTCAGCCTCCCAAAGTGCGGGGATTACAGGCGTGAGCTGCCACTCCTGGCCTATGTATCAGTTTTTTTTTTAATGATTTTTTACTGTTGCTCTGCATGTTTCTTCCTGTCTACTTGTCCTTCACATTCTTTGAGAGCTCTCTAACTGCCTTTGTGTTCAGATGGCCTCTGCTATCTGATATTTGTCTTCTTTGTCCAAGCAGTGTGACATCTCCTCTATCCCATTGCTCAGGACTCCAGGATCAAATAACAACCCTATTGGAATTTGCTAGACTCTAAAAAAACTCTGTTTATTTCAGCTTTATGTAATATACACTTCCATAAGGATGTCTAACTATTAGAAAGCAAGTCTATTTGAAGGTAACAGTCTTACACACACACACACACACACACACACACACACACACAGAACCATTCCAAAGACTACATAGGCCACTGTGAAAAGACAAATAAAATTTCCAAAAGAATCTGTTTAATACTTTGTTTTTACAAAGTACATCCCTGCAAAAGAATTTTAATTAACTGAAAGAAGGATTGGGAACAACTAGGTTCTAGGAAATAGAAAAGTTATATGATGCTCTAAATTTTCCAGGTTTTATTATAACTGAGAGGAATTGGTTCAAAGTTTATCTGGAGCTTTAAAGTCTAAACCTCAAATCAGTGTCAATTATCTCAACATACACTGCCAAGAAGATCACTCATTATTAATGGGTGGTGAAATGGATCACTGGGAAGTTAAGATAATTCTTTGTCATGAGTTTTGTCTCTAAGTACAATTGAGTTGTTTTTCTAACTATATTTTAGAGGTCTAGAATATTTCTGTATCTAATCAACTAATCACATTTTCCTCTGCGTGTTATTAAGGCATTCATTAGCCTTCAATAGCACTGCAGAAGTTGGCTTTGGTTTAAAATTGTGCCCATGGTAGGAATATTTCCATAAACCACTTAAAACATTAGTAAGCTGTGCTCTTCTCCCCCTCCCCAGAATTTATTTAATCTCATTAAACCTAAAAATGAGTCAAAGCAGTGGGTAGCATTTTCTTTCTTTTTTTTTTTTTTGTGATGAATCAAAACATGAAAGAAGAATGCAAGCATTAAGAGTAATGAACATTGGATGCATTCTCTAGTCTAACTGTTCAGACTTAAAGCAATATAATATACTTAGATGTCATTATCTAAAATACTTATGATGGGATTGTTTTTCCTCGATAAGAAATTAATTGGTAATAAATCTGTATTAGAGGGAAGTAAAAACAGACTGTGCCAACTTAATTTGGCTTCAGGGATAAGAAAGAAGCAGATGTTGGAATTAGCACTTTAGATATTAACCCTCCAAATCAGAATCTGGAGACAAGATTGGTTGTGGAATTTTTCATGGGAACTGGTAGATTCATGCATTTGAGGTCCATAGCTTTGATTACATTTTGGGACCTCTGAAATTTATAGAAAATTGCACTTAGAAATAGGACTTGTAATTTAAAATTTTCTTAACACCATCGAGTTCACAAATGTGCATATTATTTGTCAGTAGGGGGCATTCCAATCTTCTTTCTCTGGATTATGTCAATTTCGGCAGTATACATGCTGCCAAAGTGAGCACTAATAGCAAAAGCTCAGGATTCAAGTGAGATGGGTTTTAGCATTCTTGTAAAATAATTATGTTGCCATATGCAAGTTGTCTAACTTCTATGACATTAGTTTTCTCATCAGTAGAATGGGAACCATTGGTAGCTGCCCTGCATGCTTGACAAGGTGGAAAGTACTCTGGAAAGTTAAAAGCACTATTAAAAAAAATTGTATATGTTAAGTCAGAAAACTATGACTTACACCACTGAGATAGTAAATATTACAGATCCAAACCCCAACATATCAGCTAGCTTTTCTCTAAGAACATTCCTTAGAAATTTTTCCTAATAAAACAATCAAAGGAATATATGAAGATATTCATTAAAGTATTACCAATGATGGTGAAGTATTGGGAGTAATCTAAATATCCAACAAAAACAGATTGTCGAAATAGATTATGTTATGGCTATAGAAAGGAAAACTATACCTCTATGAAATTTCACAACATATAATCCACAAAAAATTCCAGACTACAAAACAGTATTTTATTATATAACCTCAACTTTTGGTTTGGTTGAAATAAAATATATAGGAAAAATTGGAGATAGATAAAACATTAATGATTAGTTCTGAGTGGATGAAGCATGATTGACTTTTTATTTTGAGAGTGATTTTCTGTATATTTGAAGTTTTCTGTATCAAACACATATAACTCTTTTATTAGAAATATATACATGTATGTGTGTGTAATATATCCTGGTCT